CGAATAGGGACACACGTGGAGACAGAAACTACATCAGTAATTTCCATAGGATGCGTGTGGGGTGTACTAGAGGTTACGGGATTTTGTTCCAGGGTGATGATAATGTTCTGGAGTTAGTGGTGATGATTTTATAAAATTTTGAATATAAAAATACCCACTAAGTTATATATCATAAAGGGCTCAGTTTTATGGTACGTAATTATGTATAAATAAGAAGAAAAATCCAGTTCTTTCTTTAAACTAAAGACATAGAGGAATCTCTTTCTTTACATTCATGGGGTATCGACTTTGTACCTGCCATTATTCCACAAACACTGTTAATGAAGTGACTGTCCTTTCCCCATTGCACACTCTTGGGTCCTTGCCATCTACAGCTCTGTTCATCTGGGTTTTTGCAGGGCAGCTGCAGACAGCAGAATTTGAAACTTTTCTTGGTTTGTTTCTGCTCTGCATTTGTTTTGCTTTCTTACAGACTAAAGAATAAATATGTAGTTTCAGAACTAGTAAATACCAAATGTTATAATAATAATCATAGATATTATTTATTAAGCACCTTCCATAGGCCGGGCTCTGTATTTTACATACATCCTCACTCCTCTTACCAGGGAGGTGTTTTGATCCACTTTGTGCAGAAACAGACACTGTGGCTCAAGGATAAAGAACAGAGATGATAAAATTAACCTGAGTGCACTGTGATGAGCTCTACCCTTTGCTCCCCGTGTGCCCTTGGGCAGCCGGGTTCCCCTCTCAGCCTCCTGCCATAAGCAAGTCCACCAGGGCCTGCCTGCAGGGCCGTGGGAGGGTGAGCAGCTGAATGTAGGGCACAGCCCAGTATCAGGACACCAAGAGATTCTCAACGTATGGTAACTGATCCCAGCACCTCATCCCTCCAATTATATCCAGGCTTCCAGGGTTTGTATGACTTGATTTATTCAAGTGACACCCTCTTAACTGTATCCTCAAAATGTTTGATGAGTCTTAGGAAGCAAGTTAGATATTTGCAAATGCACACACTGGTGAATATTTGCTGTCTGCCCACTGTTAGAGAAGGTGTTAGGTAACCATTAACAATTTTGATACACCCTACAGAATCTTTCCTGTTCACTCACTGAGAGATTCACTTACTTTTGATTCGCTGGTGAGTGGGTGCTTTCAGGACACAGGAGGAGCCCTGCCTTCCTCATCAGCCTGTGTCTGGGTCTCTTCTCATTGAATAACGATTAGAAAACTTAACAACCTTTGGCATTCTCAGCCCTAAGTGACCTTTGTGTTCAAACCAAAACTGACCCGAGCGAAAAACTCAGATTCAGAAAAACATCCCATCTCTGCCTATTCTCTCAAATCAGGATTGGCACAGGTCAGATAGGCCCTGCTGCCAGATGTGTAGGGTGGATGACAACTATCTAGTAAATCAAAAATACCTGAAGGGAAAGCTCTGCATGGAAATTAAGTCTGGGTTCAAGATGGATCTATGTTTATTTTTGTAAAGCCTCTTTCATTTTGCTAAAAAAAAAATGCTTCCATCGCCTGGTTTAACCCTCATCTGCTGCCCTAGGTAAGAAAACGCCTGCTGTCCCACCTCACAGAGTAGAACAGAAAAGTGCCCTGGCCTCACCTCTCCTCGGCTGCCAGCCTGGTTCCACTGTCATGGGGGTCCCGCTACCCACTGCTCCCCCGGTGTGTACTTCTGTAACGTTTTCTCTGAAGTTTGGAAGATGACAGAAGGTCTAGCTGGAAGACGCCAGCTAGAATCAGTTAATAAAAAGAGTAAGATCGCTCAGTAGTTTTGTTCCTGTGTCCAGATGGATGAGAAATTGCCTGGGGAGGAAAGAAGGTGGACTTTGAACTTGGGCCTGGAATTGTTCTCAGCCCTGCCCCATCACTCAGAGTCCACTTCTGGGGACCTGAGTGTCTTCATCTATAATTTGATGATAATGACATGCCCTCTCAGCATTATGAGAAGCATAAAAAACAATATATTAAAAGGTTTTTAACAGTCACGTGCTTATCATTACAGTTGGTACTCACAGCCATTTTTACTGTTCATTGTGCTCCTTTTACAGCAAACCCTCTCCCCCGTGGCATCGGCCCACCAGGGAGGGCCACACCTGGGCCAGACCTGGAGGTGCTAGATAGTGGCAAAGGTGAGTGTGGGTTTGAAAGAGAGTTCAGAACTCAGAAGGATGTGTTGGGGTGCGGCAGGTAGGGGCTTCATTTTTGATCTGTGCCACCAACCCAGGCCAATCAGAGTGCCTGTCACTTAGCATGTGCTCAATAAATATTCGTGGAATGAATACAGAAATAAATGAAGGATTTTTTCATGAATGAATGAATGATTTCCCTACAGTTCTTCTCTGCCCTGTGATACACTGCCTCTTGCACTCTCCAAGGGGCTCGGGTGGGGAGAAGAAGCTGCACAAACCTACAGATGATCTGAGACCACTGCCCCTCACTCTGCCATACCCACCTCCATTGCAAACATGCTCCCCCACACACCCTCCAGATGATCCTTCTCCCTGATAATGAAGCTGAGACAAGGATGGACTTTGGTCATGGGGACTCGGGAGTGTCGACCTAGATGCTCTGAGCACCCAACTGGCTCTGCCTCCACCCAAAGGAGAGCCAACCCAATGAGAACAGGTTTTTATTCCCCCGGATCATAAACAACCCTAACTCTTCACAGCAGATTTTTTTCCAGAGCTTTTACAAGTATGGTTTCATTCAAACATGTAACTATTTGAAATCACTAGGTTGAATAAACATTTTTGTGTTCTGAAATATGTAATGAATAATGTAAAAATTATCCAGGACTCACCATTCTATCTTTCCAAAATAGGAACACTTTGCCTGTATTCTCCATTCCTTTTGAAAAAAATACTGTTGGAAATTTGGTGCTATCATTCCCGGCAAGATTTTATACTTTTACAACATATGCTCAAATCCTTAAGCAATACCTAATATTACTTTGCAGGTTTTAAGTTTTATTTAAGTGCTATTATACAGTGCTAACATTCTGGAACTTTTTATGCTTAATACTCTTTTGTGTATTCTAACAATGTTGATATATGTAGCTCCATGTTATTAATTTTGCTCTGTAGTTTTCTGCTGTAAGACGTGCTACAATTAGTATTAATCCTGCACCTAACATTGTACAACAAGCTCTCTGATTTCTGCTCCGTGGCACCTATGGGAGAGCCCCTCCTGTTCCCCTAGTGTGGGCCACAAAAACACAGGTCGGGGGCATTTGGGAGCTTTTGTTCTACCAAAAACTGTTTTCAATGTTTGATCAAGTTTTGCTCTTGCAATTTATGCCTTTCAGATCATGTTTATGCCTTTGATTTAAGTATATTTCACTGGCGTGTGCATGTGTGTGTGCGTATGTGTATGTTACAGGTGGCGTGGGTCATATTTCTTCCACAAGGATAAATGACCCAGTGCTCACTGGTCCACACGGCCACCTTTGCCCTACGTCAGGTTTCTATCAATATGTGCTGCTTTGTATGAGCTCTCTGCCCCACTGAGCTACTTGTCTCTTGTCAGAACTACTCTGTCTTAATTAGATTAGCTTTCTAATCAGTTTTCATGCCTGTTTTTGACAAATCTTCCCATCTTTTCTTGTTGTTCAAAATGGTGTGATATTCTTGGTCCAATAGCATTTTAGAGTGACTTTGTCATGTTTCATCGAAAAACATTAGAATTTTCATTGTATGTCATTGAACTTGTATACTAACTCAGGCAAATTGATATCTTTTCAATATTGAGTTTTCCAATCCATGGACATAGTATACCAGTTTTTAGGTTTTCTTTTATGACTTTAAGTTTACAATTTCACATGCTGTTTTCCATAATGTTCTTATGCATCTCTAATTAGAACTAACTTTAAAACTTCCTAGTTCACAAACAAAATCTTTAAACTTATAATTACTATTTTCCATGGTTTTTGACTGCTGTTTAGCATGGTAATTGATTTGATTATTACTCATATCCACTTAACACCATTAACAGTATGGACTTTGTTTTTATTTGCAACACTTACCACATTAATTATCTAGAATTCATTTTTATCTTTTTCATATTTTAAGTGTGAAGTAGTTTTACAAGTTTTACTTATGAAAACTGGTGTCCCTTTCACCTCCTACCATTTCCCACCTCCAAGGACAACCATTTTCAACTGTTAACTGATTATTTAGATTTTACTCCCCTATCTCATATATTGTACTTCTATGCACTTCTTCATTTCTGACATTAGGATTCATTTTGCTCACAGCTTTTTGTGTGAACATGAGTTGCATTTCTCTGAGACAAATGCCTGGGAGTATAAATTGGGTCATATAATACACATCTTATCCTGAAATGTGTGAGGAAACGATTCGTATTGTTGTATGGAAGCACATACAAGCTGTGAGGTCGGCACCACGCTGTGCACTGGGGCTCAGTTTTACCAGTTCCATCAATAAAGGGTAAAATGTGGACTCGTTTAGGAGGAGAAATGCTCCCATCCCAATGTTGACCAGGTTCTGGTGAACCCTCTTCCTCCCTCCCTCTGACTAGTCCCTGGTAAGGCTGGTGAGGATGAGGCCACATGCCAGCTGCTCAAAGTTTGGGACACAGCCCATAGCTGCAGACCATTCTCCTCCTGAGCCACCAAGTGGAGCATCACCATGAAGATCTCAGATGGGGTGAGGGGCCGAGCACAGAGCAGAGGCCCCAGGCAGGGGAAGCACTACTTCCTACAGGCCTGTCCAAGTCTCTCTGAGAACAAACAGGAGTAACTCCTCAGCCTGTGGCTAAAAACTAAGATGAGTATTTCCTCACTCTATATTTGTCTTCTGTGCCTGATTCTATTTCACAACCTAGAAGCAGAAACTGTCTTGAATCTAGAAGCGGGTTACTCTCTCCCAGCCATTGCACCCCAGCCTGAGCACTTCCTGTTGTATCACAGGAGGTGGGGCCTCTGTCCTCTCACATAGTAGAGTCCGGGCTCTCCCAGCACACATTAGGACAGAGCAGGCTCCTCAGCTTCCAGGATGCTGGTCCCTGCCTCCAGGCCCCGCCCTCCTCCATGCCTGCTGCTGACTCTGCTGCTGGGCTTCACAGGTGAGCTCTCATTGGGATAGATTTTCCTCATTCTCCCCCTGGACATTTTGTTGCTCCTGAAAATCTAGAGCCTCCAGGTAAACAGGGAGCATCACCCAGTGCTGTCACAGAGGGCCGACAACAAACTGATATCTGAGACCTTGAAATCAGGGACCTGATTGTTTTTTATGTGAGTCTATCACCTGAACCTGGGTAGCAGAGGCATCCAACAGATGATGCTTCAAACCATAACAGCAACAGTGTTATGGGTATTAAACACTCTAATCATCACAACATCCCTGTGTGAGAACTATGACTATCATCCCTGATTTGCAGATGAGGAAACTGAGATAAAGAGATTAACTAGTCCAATGTCACCTATGTAAGGCAGAATTTCAGCCAGATTCCAGTTCAGGACAAGTAGATCCAGAGCTCATTCTTTTAACCATGTGATATTGCTTCTCAGTAGAGGCTGACTGTGGAAAAATCAGAAAACACAGAGAAGTAAATCAAAAAATAGTCACCTCCCATCATACCACATATATATTTGCAATGCTTGTATTGTGTGTGTGTGTGTGTGTACAAGGGGGTTTGAGGCAGTGTGCACACACCCACATGTGGGATTTTTTAAGACTCTCCATTTGTTCTCTTCAAGTCCTCTTAATCTATATGCAATGATCAAAGAGATGTTTAGTTCCCTCTGTCTCTTAGACACCCTCTCTCCTGTACTTCTCTAAATGTGCTCCTTATCCTCCCCCAAACTTTCAAGACAAGAAAACTTCTCTCTGAGTAAAATGAGTAGGGTTTTGTACATTATAATCTTGGTGGCCCTCTTCCATGATGGATGAGGGTGAAGAGGGAAAATAGGGATTAAAAAAGAATCCTCCCTGTATGAACTCCACACATATCTGTATCTACCTATGCCTATATCCTGTAATGTCAGTTGAAGCATCCAGACCCAGGAAGTAAAATGAGTAATAACTTGTCAATTTCTTGAGCACTCACCATGTGCAGTTACTGTTAGAAATTCTTATCTCTTTACCTCATGTGATCATTATATCCAAGGTAGATTCCTTTGTCTCCCCTAATTACAGAAGAAAAAAAACACAGAGAGGTTCAGGTCACTCAGTGGTAAATGGTAAAGCTACTATTTAAACTCAGTCTGATCCTAGAGCTCATAGATTTCATCGTTACCTCACATTTATCCTATGAAATTTCTATTATTTCTGCCAAACAGTGTGCTAAAGGGTGGGTGTTGGGGGAGAGGGTTTGTGGTTTTCTGCTTCTCGGTTCTTCCACTTCCTGTACATGCACAAGATACATTTGTTTTCACCAGGTCATCTAGTTGGGAAACTCAGTGTCTGACATCATTTCCACAGATTTGCCCACTTAAAATAATCTTCAGAGGTTCAGAGAGAAGTTTCACTGGCCAATTCACACATATAATAAATATTTATTGGATACATACAATGTACCAAAACATGATAGGAACTTGGGGTGTATTGGTGAATAAATAAGACAAAGTAGCTGTCTTCATGGAACTTATATCCTAGTGGGGAAATGACAGTAAACAATAGACAAAATAAATTATATAGAATGTTAGAAAGTGGTCATTGTCGGGGCAAAATGAAAGTACTAAGTAGGAAAACTGGGGAATTTGGAAGTTGGAAGGTATGTTAAACAGACACTGTGGATGGGCATCACTGAGAAGGGGAATTTTGAGCCAACATTAAAAGATGTTTGGGAGGGATTATCTGGGGTAAGAGCCTTCCTGTCAGGGAACAGCACGTGCAAAGTCCACAGCAGTACATTCTCTGTGCCATTAATCTATCCTTTTTCTCTGTGAAAAATGTTTTCATTGCAAGGTTTTGAAGAAAGGAGTAACATAATGTGACATAAAGTTTAAAATATCATAGCATTTAGTTGAGAATAGAAGACAGCAGGACAGAGAAGCAGGTGGAACATTCACACAAACAGAAAGAAATGACTTCTACCAGCACAGTAGCCAGTGGAGACAGGGGGGAAGATGGAGACTTGGGTACAGGCAAAACTGGAGCCACAGGATTTCTGATGCACAGGATTTGGGTGGGAGAGCAAGACTCCACCTGTTGGTGACCTGAGCATCTGGAAGAACAATGGTGCTCAGGTGAGACAGAGAGGGCTGTGGGGGTGGAATTCAGGAGTTCACTTTGGACATGTTAACTGTGAGATGTGTGTTTTCATCCAAAGAAAACTGTGAGTGGACACTTAGACATACAGTCCAAGGTCCAGAGGAAAGGCCTGGACAGGGGTGTAAATATGAGATTTAGAAATGGACAGATGGCAAGCCCTGGCTGCTGTGGCTCAGTGGACAGAGCACCGGCCTGCAAATCAAAATGGACTGATTGCAGAGTGTTGAGTCCCCTTCTCTCTTTCTCTACCTCTTCCAATTCTCCTGTGATGTTCATTCCTATTTCTCCCATTTTTGTCTCAGCTATTCAGCTTCTCCCTTCTCAATTTTCTTTTCATGACTTTAAAACTTGAACCATGATGTGCTTGGTACCAAAAGACCTGCCATATAGCAGTAGATGGCGGTGATAGAGGCTGTGTGGTCACAGTACTAAGTGTGAGGGTTTCAACAGCTCACTCTTTGCAAAGGTGACCCACAGATTTTTCTCCCTGAGGAGAAGCTAAGAAACAGAAAAGAACACAGGGTTTATCTGTGGTGCCACAGCAGCTTCCTTCTTAGTGACATTGATTACTTTTCTCTTTTTCCAAAATGTGCTTTATTGATTATACTATTATAGTTGTCCCAATTTCCTCCTTTGTCCCCCTCTGTCTGGTACCCCCATCTTTTACAGCAATCCAACCCCCTTGGTTCATGTCCTGGGCCATGCATATAAGTTCTTTGGCTTCTCCATTTTCTATACTATTAACATTCCCTTGTCTATTTTGTACCTACCGATTTATGCTTCTTATTCCCTGCACCTCTTCCCTCATTCTCCTCCTTCCTCATCCAAGCTAATAAACCTCCAAATTATCTCCATATCTATGATTCTGTTCCTCTTCTGGTTATTTGCTTAGTTGGTTTTTTTAGATTCAGTTGTTGACAGTTGTGAATTTGTTGCCATCTTAATGTGCACATTTTTTATCTCCTTTTTCTTAGATAAGTCCCTTTAGCATTTCATATAATAATGGCTTTGTGATGATGAACTCCTTTAACTTTACCTTGTCTGGGAAGCTCTTTATCTGCCCTTCCATTCTAAATGATAGCTCTGCTGGATAGAGTAATCTAGATTGTAGGTCCTTGCTTTTCATCACTTCACATAGTTCTTGCCAGTCCCTTTTAGCCTGCAAAGTTTTTTTTGAGAAATCAACTGACAGTCTTATGGGAGCTCCTTGGTGGGTAGCTGTCTGCTTTTCTCTTGCTGCTTTTAAGATTCTATCTTTAACCTTTGGCATTTTAATTATGATGTATCTTTGAGTGGGCCTCTTTACATCCAACTTGTTCTGTAACAAGCACTCTGTGCTTCCTCTATGTCCATTTCCATCACCAAATTAGGGAACTTCTCTTTCATTATTTTTTCAAGTGAATTTTCAATTTCATGCTCTTCCTCTTCTCCTTCTGACATCCCTATGATTCAGATGTTGGTAAGTTTGAAGATGTCCCAGAGGTTCCTTATTCTCTTATTTTTGTTTTTTATTTTTTAATTTTTTTCTTCTCACTGTTTTGATTGAATGCTTTTTTTCTTCCTTATGTTCCAAATCATTGGTTTGAATCTTGTCTTCATCTCCTCCACTGTTGGTTCCCTGAAGATTTTTCTTTATATTTTTTAGTGTAACCTTCATTTCTCTACCTGGAACTTTTTTTGTTGTTATTGTCGTAGTCAATGAGTTCTTTGAGCATCCTGACAATGAGTGTTTTGAACTCTGCATCTCATAGGTTAGTTATCTCCATTTCCTTTGATTCTTTTGCTGAGGTTTTGTTCTATTCTTTCAATTGGTCCATATATCTTTGTCTCCTCAATTTGGGAGCCTCCCTGTGTTTGATTCTGTGTATTAGGTAGAGCTCCTTTGACTCCCTATCTCAGTAGCATGGCTTATTGCAGAAAAGGCACCTATAAATTGTATGAGGCAGAGCCTTAAGTAGTTGCCAGTGTGGGGCAACCCTCTTCACCACTTTGTGGCTCTGTTTGGGGGCAGGGCTGAAAGGGGACAGTGCCACTGCCTGGCTTCTGGAGGTTCACCCAGCACTCACCCTGCTTCCAGTCACTTGACTTACTCCCTGTATGTGACTGGTGCCCTTCCAGCTGAATCCCAGTGGGTATGGGTCTGCATACTTTCTAAGTTCATGCGGGCCCTTTAAGTAGAGTCTCCTGAAAATCCAGCAGTTTCTTCTGCCACCCCAACCCCACTGGTTTTTACAGGCAGAAGTTATGAAGATTTATCTTCCTGGGCTGTGCAGTCTAGCCTTGGGCTGGGAATGCTTGCTCCCAGGCTTTCCCCCCAATTTTTAGCCACCACACATGATTTGAAAAACCAAAGAGACTCTCACAGATATCTGGGACAACTTGAAACTTTCCAACATCCAAATCATAGGGGTGCCAGAAGAGGAAGAACAGCAGCAAGAAAATGAAAACTTATTTGAACTATAATGAAGGAGAACATCCCCGATCTGGCAAAGAAAATAGACTTCCAGGAAATCTAGGAAACTCAGAGAGTCCCAAAGAAGTTGGACCCAAAGAGGAACACACGAAGGCACATCATCATTAAGTTACCCAAGATTAAAGATAATGAAGGAGAGAATCTTAAAAGCAGCAAGAGAAAAGCAGAGAATTACCTACAAAGGAGTTCCCATAAGACTATCAGTGATTTCTCAAAAGAAACCTTGCAGGCAAGAAGGGGCTGAAAAGAAGTATTCAAAGTCATGAAAGGCAAGGACCTACATCCAAGATTGCTCTATCCAGTAAAGCTATTCTTTAGAATGGAAGGGCAGACAAAGTGCTTCCCAGATAATGTCAAGTTAAAAGAGTTCATCATCACCAAACCATTATTATATGAAATGTTATGAGACTTATCTAAGAAAAAGAAGACCAAAAATATGAACAGTAAAATGACAACAAACTCACAGCTATCAACAAGAAACCTAAAAGAAAAGAAAAACAATGAAAACAAAAACTAAGCAAACAACCAGAACAGGAACAGAATCAGAGAAATGGACATCATACTGAGGGATTTCAGTGGGGAGGGGGAAGGGAACAATAGGGGGGAAAAGGTACAGGGAAGAAGAAGCATAATTAGTAGGCATAAGGTAGACAGGGAGAGATAAAAAATTGTATAGGAAACAGAAAACTCAAAGAACTTATATGTACAACCCATGGATATGAACTAAGGGGGGAAATGCTGGAGGGTTGGGGGGGCAGAGCAGAGGGGGGTAGAAGAAAGAAATTGAGAAAACTGTAATAGAATAATCAATAAAAATATTTTTAAAAAATCATAGAGAAGAGCAAATAACAAAAAAAGAAAGAGGTTGGAGTTACAGGAAGCTGGAAATCATGAGAACAGGCACGTCGGCGGCCTGCAGAATTTGCAAAGGCAGGGCACAGAGCTTCCCGATGAAACGCAGCTTGCCAGCTCCAACTTTGGGTTCTGACCCCCAGGACTATGAAACAAGTAATTGCTGTTGGTTTAAGCCACTGAGATTTTGCTATTTTCTTAAACCAGCTAGGGAAACAACATAACATGATTATACACTGGGAAAAATCTCAGGAACTTGAGATCTTGTTTTACTTCTTATTTGAATGACTTGATCACTATGTGTTGGGAGCTCTGCACGTCACTGTCACTCAGGTGCCCAGGCTGAGGGAGCAGAGCCCTGCGTGACATGGGCATCTCCGTGGCAGAAGGAAGTGGCTCCACAGAGGGACTTGCAGTTAAATGCACGTCCCACAACACACATTCTCACTGCGCACAGCTCAGTGGTCTAGAGAAGCCTCAGGGTCCCACCCCACAATGTTCCATAAGTGGGACGCTCCATGAGGCAGAGAGTGCACAGCCAGAAATGTCTGGGAAAGTGTGGCACTTCCGGGGGAGACTCAGCACTTAAACCCACTCTTTATGCTTAATTCCATGTCAATCATTTTATTATTGTAATGACAACACAAATGACATTTTTCCATGTCCCCATTACACTTATGCTATGGATAACAACGCTTTCTTTATATGAATGTTATTGTTCCTTTTAAAACATGTTATTTCCTATGTTTGGAATATTTTGACATTTTTAATAAAATAAAAATATATGAAACATTCCAGTTGCATTACTAAGGAAAGTTTCTAGTTTTATATAATTTATGTACAACTTTAAACTTTAGTAGTAGAAACAATGAAATTTCACTTCTTGTTATTAAACAGTAACAAGACTAACTCCCCAAAACATGCATTACAACCATATATCAGACTCTGTCATCAATGTGGTGGTCTTGGCATTTTAGATACTATGTTCCCACTTTAAGTTAAGTCCTCTTTACTGATACAAAAGCAGGCAAAGACAATAAACAGGCAGTTCATTAAATGAAGGATTAAAAACAGCCAATAACAACACCGATATACCAATCTTATTTGTCATGAAAGAAACAGAAATTAAAAATTAAGTTATTATTTTTCACTTATATTGGCAAAGATATATTATTTTAAAAGATAGCATCTACAGTTTACCAGGGAGTATGCAGGTAAAGGGTGAAAACGTGGTCACACTTATAAAACTAACTGGAAATGTAAGTTGCGCAGCCTTTTTGGAAAACTATTTGGCAATATTTATCAAAGCTCTGAAACTCTGTTTTCTTTGAACTAATCATTCCACTTCCAGAACCCTTCTCAGGGACATGACTAAGCACACACCTCAGAACATGGTCACAGGGTGCTCCCTGCACCACTGCTCACAGTGACATCTGCAGACGACCAAATGTCTGACCCAGAGGACCACTGAGTAAGCGGTGGCCCCTCCCTTTCAGCAGGCTGTGGGCGTCCCTACGATGACACCCTCCCAGCCTCCCTCAGCTCCTTCCCCCCCACAGAGTCTACTTCCCACAGGGTCTAACCATCGCTTCCTCAGTGAGCTTACCTGAGTCCAGGGAGCTGAGGAGGAATCTTCTGAGGACCCAGGAAAATGCACTCCTCACTGACAAACTGAGACGTGAGAAGAGGAGCAGCCTTTCCTGACCTTTAGATGCAATTCTGCCGTTGCAGCAGCAGCTCTCGTGACCAGAAGACAAACCTAAGGCCAAACACTATGAGGCCGAGGCCAAACAGAGTCCTTAATGACACATGTGAGCTGTGTGTGTGTGAGATAATGAATGTGCTTGGTTACTTAAGTCCATTATGTTTGGACACTTACCTCTGGTAGAAAGCATCCTACTGACATCAGCCATACAATAGGATGCTTTAGAGCAGGGGTGTCAAACTCATTTTCACTGGGGGCCACATCAGCCTCACACTTGGCTCCCAAGGACCAAATGTAATTTTAGGACTGTATAAATGTAACTATTTCTTAACAGTTAAGCGAGAGCTTGGTGCTGCCACCTGATAGAAACAAGGTGTTAGGCTGGATAAAACAAGGTAGAGGCCCGGATTTGGCCCGTGGGCCTTGTGTTTACCCCCTGTGCTTTAGGTCCAGGGAAAGTCATGCCACAGAAGTATTTCTGAACAGTAGACGCACAGTTAAAGGGGAAAATGACAAAATAGTGTGCTTCTATTTTTTATTTTAAAACAAGTATGTTAATATGGATTTACTTGCCAAGAAAAGATTTTAGGAAGAGTTATCTCTGATATAGTTCTGTCCGAAAGCCAGAAATTAAATGTTTCCTCTTTGCATATTTGCATTTTCTGGTTTTCTACAAGTGTGTGCCATCATGCCTCTGAGATACAGGGGGTTCAGCGCCAGATGTCCGTAATACAGCAAGTCATAATCTTTTTGCTGGTGGAGGGTCATTTTGCCTTTCAATCACAAAGAATTCAACCCCTGTGAGTGAAGCGTGCCTGTGTCACTTAGAGTTCTGTCACCCTTTTCCATTTCTTCTGTCTACTCAACCTGATTCTGAGGAGGAAGAAAAGGTGAACGTGCATTCTGCTAAGTTCTCTTGAACTGGGGGGGGGGGGCTTTTTAAGTAGGAAATGATGTGTTTGTATTTCAAAATGTTTGGTGAAATAATATCTGAGTGTATCTAGCATTTAATGTTATCCCTTCATCATATCATGACTTTGTACTGATTTATACCAGAATTTTCTCTGTGAAGAAAAAGAGTCCAAAAATAAAGGTTTTTCAGGAGCCATAGGAAAAGCAGATGATGTGAGTCCTTGTGGGTGAGAACAGAAAACCACCTCTGGGAGGGTTTAGACTCATCTGGAGACAAAACATCCTTGTGTTCAGATCCACTGGGTTTCCTAAGAGCTGCTGAGAAAACATGGTGCAATCATTTTGTGTTCCTCAAACGCCTGTTCCTTTTCTTCTACTACATCCAGAACCTAATGTGTTTTTTATAAGCCTGGTATGTATCCAAGTTTAGTGGGGACATAGCAAATTCAGGTCACGCAAATCAAATCCCAGTCCACCACCTATAGCCTTTATGACGCTTTCTTTCAGCGCCCCAACCCAGTGAAACATACCCAGCTGAGTCCATTCATCTTTAAATCTTCTGATTGCTTTTAATTACTTATTGGTAAAAGTTTTTTTCATAATATGAGAAGATTCTCAAATTAAACCATGACCTGTAACACTAGTGTTCATTGTGTCAATCCCAACATGTAGCTCAGGTTCAGCAGCAGCTGCAAGCAACGTCCCTTTAACAAGAGATGTGAAAGCTGAAATGGGGTAAGGATTCCGTGAGTCTTTTGCAAGAACTGGATTTCCTTCTGCAGTTCTCTGCAAACAAATATTATTCCATGAGATACTGAATTTCTCTGCAACTCATTTCCTCATCATCAGAAGACCAGCCATGGCTGCCTTAGCGTCCCAGGCACAGACAGACCGACCGAGGTGCTCCTGCTCCTCAGGCTGGATGGGTCACACCAGCAGCCACGCAGCAGAGCTGGGCAGCCAGCATCACAGGAAAAGGCCCAGTGCACGCCCTCTATTGCTGACACCAAGGAGAACCGCTTGGCAGGGAAAGACTTAAACCCACTCTTGGCCACATCCCTTTACCTGTCTGTGCCTCAGTTGCCTCATTCCTAATAAGGTCTCATATTACAGGCTTATTGTGAGGCTTACATGGATGATACATGCAATGTGCTGAGCTCCAGGCCCACTCAGGGTGTGCACTCAGTCAGTGAAAGCTGTTGCTGAGAAATAAGCCAGGCAGTGAAAGACAAATACCATATGATCCCACCTTTAGCAGGAGCCTAATCAACAAAACTAACAAACAAGGAAAATATAACCAGAAACACTGAAATAGAGAACAGGCTGACAGTGACGACAGGGGAGAGGGGAGGGAATTTCAGGGGAAAAGGGGAAGGGTTTTCAAGAACAAGTATAAAGGACACATGGACAAAAACAAGGTGGGGTGGAAATGGGAGGGAAGTGAGGAGAGCTGGGCTGGGATGGGAGTAAAAGGCAGAAAACTATACTTGATCAACAATTTAAATAAAATAAAAAATCATAACAGTAAATTTAAAAAGAAAGCTGTTGCTGATAAATACTTGACAAAACCCACAGGATCACACATGGATGGATAAATAACTGCTCTGTGTTTCCCTCCAGGAGGGGCAGGTGAGGAGCTGCAGGTGATTCAGCCTGAGAAGTCAGTGGCAGTGGCAGCTGGAGAGACGGCCACTCTCAGCTGCACCGTGACCTCCATTTACCCCGTGGGGCCCATCATGTGGTTCAGGGGGACAGGGCCAGGCCGGGAGTTAATCTACAGTCAAAAAGGAGGCCACACTCCCCGAGTAACAAGTGTTGCAGATGATACAAGGAGAAACAACACGGACTTTTCCATCCGCATCAGTAACATCACCCCAGCAGACACGGGTACCTACTACTGTGTGAAGTTCCGCAGAGGAAGCCCTGACACGGAGTTCAGGTCTGGGACAGGCACTCGGCTCACTGTGAGTGGTGAGTACAGAGTGGGATCCTCTGTCCCTGCTGTGTGACAAGTCCATAAGAAAGACCTTTGTTTTTACAGCAGCAACTAGGAATCAGGTGGTGGGTGCTCATAGTCAGGGTCTGATTTCTGGTCTGAAGTCACCCCTCCTGCAGATCAGAGAAGTTGAGGCTGGGAGGTCATGGTATGTTTGTAGGCCCACGGGCAGTTAATGGTGGGAAAAGTCTGGAACCTCGGTTTGTCTGGCTCCCCAAACCTTGCCTTCTCCAATCCCATCCAGCCCCTTGTCCAGGGATGAGGGAACTGAAGGTCTGAGGGACTTGCCCATCATGAGGTCAGACCTCACCCCTGCCCCCAGAGAGCCCTCCCCTCAGTGTGGCCGAGCCCCCCTCCCTGACACTCACTGACACCCGCTGGGAGCCAGGCTCCCCTCTGGGTGCTGTGGGAGCTGCAGGGGACTGAGCAGGCAGAGCTCTTCCCCACGGAGCTTCGTTCTCCTCCCTGCAGTTGGGGGAGATCCATGCAGGGCAGAGAGGGGGGATGTGTTCCTTTATTTCCTCCCCAGAAGCATCACGTGAGAAGACATTCCTAAGGGGGCACAGACTCCTGTTCACTCTGCCAGCCCTGCTGGGAGGAGGTGCCAGAGGTTGGGCGCTCACTGCGGGTCTGTCTGATAAACCCCCTTTATTTCAGGGACCCGGTCACACTGTCACTTAGGCTCTGAGCAGTTTTCTCACATTGTCCCTCACTTTAAGAGGAGGTGCCCTCTGTGGGTGACATAGGTGTGTCCTCCTTTTGAGACAGCAATAATGCCTATTTAGTTTTTTTCCCCCCAGAAACCCAGGATACCGCATCCTGGAATGTCCCCACAAAGGACCTTTAGACCACTCAGCCTGACCCCACCCCATGTATAGTTTGGAGCCTGAGGCCAAGAGGTGACAATGGCCTTGCCCATGGTCACATGGCCAGTGAGCGATGAGATCGTTCTAGTGCCCAATCTGATTCCGAGAGGGTTCCTTCCTGCCCCATCACAGGACCCTCTTTCCATGGAATCTTGGCATATGACCATTGAACAAGCAGCCAGAATATTGCTTTCATTGTTTTCACATGCCCCTCACATTCAGATGCTGAAGCCCAAGATAACTGAAATCCTCTCCCAACCCTCAGTCCCATCCTCCCAAAACAAGCATCCACATCAACACCTATAGCTGCTTCTTCTTCAACAGCTGCCTCACCCTCCAGCATATAAAGACAGCATCATTCACTGACCATCTACTGATGGATATAAGTTGGTCCCAACCTCTGGCTATTACAACAGTGGTACAAGAGAGACCCTTGTCTGCATGTCACTTACCCAAGAGGGAGATGCCCCCCTGGAAGTGGCATTGCTGGGTCAGACGGTACATGCATTTTACTTTATGTGGATATTGCCAATTTTCCTCCTAGACAAGGTGGCAACAGTCTCCCCACACCCCCTGGACACAGGCAGGGAAGGTGGCTTTATCCTAAATTTTCAGATATTACAAAAGTTCCCAATGGGGTGTCCCTAGGCAACCACAAGTAGGAAGTGACTCCATCTGTCTCCTGGTAGATGCTCCTTCCTCTTCCCTAAACTGCCTGCCTAGATGACACCCTGGATGAGAAAGCAGGTGGATGGGAGGGGGACAGGGGCCATATTTTGATCATGGCATTTACCTTAGAAACAGTGCTGTGAGGGAGGGGCCTCTGTTGCCCCTTTGCTAGATGAGGACACTGATGCTCAGAGAGGGACCTGAACTCAGCAGGAAGGGGAACTAAGAATGGAACCCCAAGCAGCATAAATCACAGGCCCCAGTCAATGCGAGGAGAAATCTGCAGCCCTCTTCTTTTAAATCATATATTGTTATGTTCTTCAGCAAAAAATGAAAATTTAAGAAGGTCCTGTGAGGGAGGCATCTCTAGCTTTACAACCTAAATGAGACAGATACTCAAATGTCCCATCATGTCCTGAAACTACTCCTAATTGACATGATTCACCATGTAAAAACATTCATGTGTATTATCCCCAAAGGCTGTGTTTTTCCTTCACTGAACACCTGAAAAAGCAGCCTTGGGACAGTGACCTGGAAAGAGCAAAGAAGGGTCACTACACCTGCAACAACACTGTGCACTTCTTTTCCTGTCTCCACAGACTGAGGGTGTGGGGGGGGGGCATTTCCTAGAGAGTACTGGGGCCCCAGGTGAGCAAGAGTTCATATTCTAGACCCAGGTGTCAGGAGACCATTCTTCCATTTATTGCTACCAGGTCCCCAGGCCTGGGCACTTAGAGGCCACTCCTCCCTGGAGCATGTGGCAGTAAGTGACAAACTCCTGAAGGTGGGCACTTGCTCTGCTGATGGTCATGAATACTTGGGGGACACAGAAAACAGCTCTGGGACACAGTAGTGGGAGTTGTAATAGACTATTGTTTCTCTCAGCCTCGGTTTTCTCATCTGTAAAATGGTGACAATCATGGATGCTTTTTAGAAGCATGGAAAGGATGTGAGATGCTCTGTCTGAGTCACCCAGCACTGAGTAGTCCCCCAAATCAGGTGTTATGTCCATGTTATGACCCAGTTAATTTTGCTGAGCCTCAGGTCCTCATTTGCAAGAAAGTTTCTATAATATTTTAATGTATATTAATCAAGTCACTGATTAATAGAATATTTATAATATGATCAAACCAACCTTTACAGGATGTTATGAGATGAGCCTGGTGAGAGAACAGACCCTCACTGAGCCATGGTCTTGCCATCCCACAGCTGGGTGCTCATGGGAAGGCTCAGATGCACTCAAGTCCTCAGTTTCCCCACTTTATGAGGTATAATCATGGCTCCTGTTCAGGGTTCTGTAAGGCCAACTATAAACAGCACAACTTCCAGTCAAGATGGCATCATAGGTCAACACCTCACCTCCTCACACAACCAAATCAAAATTACAACTAAAACCTGTATCACCCATCACTGAGAACCATGAGAAATCGGGTTAAATGGAAGTTTGACGACTATGAAATTAAAGAAACCACATCCATTCAGAGTGCTGGGAGGAGCAGAGAAGCAAATAGGCTGGTCCTACATCCCACATGTGGGGGATAAAAATTCAGGAGGGATATTTCAGGAGCAAGGAGTGCAAGACCAACAACAGGCCCCCTGCCAAGGGTTCCAGTGCCAGGAAGATAAGTCCCAATAGCTTCTGGCTGCAAAAGCCAGTGGGGATTAAGTCAGTAGAAGAAACTTCTGGAGCCCCAAGCAGTTACTCTTAGAAGAACCCACACAGGGACTTACTCAGACTCTCTCCCTATGAGCTCCAGCACTGGGGTAGCTACTTAAAAGTCACCAGTGGCATACAGAATGAAGCTCAAGTGTCTGGAATCAAGGCAAGAGCTGAGGGACAGCTTTCTCACAGAAAGGTAGGCAGGGGCCATTACACTTTTCTGAACCCTCCCCCACAAGGCCACAGAGCTGGCAGGTGAGTACCACATCAGGGACTCCATCAACCTGGCTAACTAACACTGTTTGCCACACCCTGGAGATCCCCAGAGATAATCCCACCCAACAAGGGCCCACCCAAGCCGCTTTTCCATATGAATGGTTGGTCTTGGCTCATGCTCCACAACTTCCTAAATCCTCTCAAGCAAGCAACAACTGGCATCAGTGAGCACCCCCAGCTCCTGTACCTCTTGCTAAGTAGTCCCATACCTGGCACTAGCAGCAGCCAGCCTAGATTCACAGGTTGGTTTCACCTGGAAATCTCCAAGTCCAACACAAGTAGCAGCCACCTCAGATTGTTTTATAGCTGTGGCAGGGGTACCCCAGGCAAAACACAGGTGGGGGAGGACCTTGGCCTCCACCACACAAGAAACCCCAGGACCAATGCACCCAGGGCCAGTGCACCCACTGGACAGCCACACTGGAGCACCACCACCCTACCCCTGTGCAGCTGATCCTCCACGGAGTATGGAGGTTGATGGTCAGTGGTCACAGCTAGTCCTTGAAGCTGACTGGCCTGGGTAAATCACTCCCATTGGCCTGCCATCAGCAATCAAGTCTCAATTATAAGAGGAGGGTGTACTCAGCCCACATAGAGGGCACATGAGTATTCAGCTTGGGTGATAGGGGAGGCTGTGCCACTGGACCCTACAGGACACCTACTACATTAGGCCATGCTACCAAGACAGGGAGTCATAGCAGCTCCACCTAACACATAGAAACAAACACAAGGAAGCTGCCAGTATGAGGAGACAAAGAAACATGGCCCAAATAAAAGAACAGATTAGCTCTCCAGAAAAAAAAAAAAATGGAGATAAACAGTCTATCAAGTGCAAAGTTCAAAACACTGGTTATAAGGAGGCTCAAGGAACACAGCAAGGACCTTAGCAGCATAAAAAAATATCCAGTCAGAAATTAAGGATACTCTAATTGAAATGATGAACAATTTACAGGTAAACAACAATAGAGTAGATGAAGCCTCAAATCAAACCCATGATTTGGAGCACAAGGAAGCAAAAAACAACCAATCAAAGCAAGAAGAAGAAAAAAGAATCCAAAATAATGATGATAGTGTGAGCAGCCTCTAGGGAAACTGCAAGTATTCCAACATTCCCACCATAGGGGTGCCAGAAGGAGAAGAGAAAGAGCAAGAAATCGGAAATCTATTTGGAAAAATAATGACAGGAAAGTTTCCCAATTTGGTGAAGGAAATAGATATGCAAATTAAGGAAGCACAGAGATTCCCAAACAAGTGGGAGGCAAAGAGGCCTATTTCAAGACACATCGTAATTAAAATGCTAAAGTTTAAAGATAAAGAGAAACTCTTAAAAGCAACAAGAGAAAAGCAGTTAGTTACCTACAGGGGAGTTCCCCCAAGACTGTCAGCTGATTTCACAAAAGAATCTTTGCAGGCTAGGAGGGACTGGCAAGAACTATTAGAAGTAATGAAAAGCAAGAACCTACAACCTAGATTACTCTATCCAGCAAAGCTATCATCTAGAATGGAAGGGCAGATAAAGTGCTTCCCAGACAAGGTAAAGCTAAAGGAGTGCATCATCACCAAGCCATTATTACATGAAATGTTAAACGGACTTATTTTTAAAAAAAAGATCAAAACTATATACATTAAAATGGCAACAAATACATATCTATCAACAATTCAGTGTAAAAAACAAACTATAAAAACAAGAGCAGAGACAGAATCATGGATATGAAGAGCATTTTGTAGGTTGTCAGATGGGAAGAGGGTATGGGGGAATGGTGAAGTGTTGAGGGGATTAAGAAGTACAAAGAGGTAGTTACAGAATATCCATGGGGATGTGAAGTACTGTATATGGAATGGAGAAGGCAAAGAATTGATGCATGACCCATGTACATGAACAATGGTGGGGGGATAGCCTGAGGGGATAGGGGCTGCTGGATAGATGGGGGCAAAGGAAGGGGGGAATGGGACAACTGTAATAGCATAATCAATAAATTATAATTTAAAAAAAGTACAAATAATGACACTGATCAGCAATTTTATTCCTCTGGCCAGACTGGTGAGAAAACACCTGGTAAGAGATACAGGTGGACTCTGAACTCAGGCCTAGAGCTGCTCATTGGCCAGGGTCTCACTCAGAGTTCACCTCCAAGGACCTGAGTGTCCTGCTCTGTAGGATGAGCATGATGACACTCCCTCCCAGCATTGCTAGAGGATAAAAGTAATGCATGAAAAGATGTTTAACAGCATCACATGCTTGTCATGGGTGGTGATGGTCACAATCGTGTTCTTTGTTCATTGTGCTCCTTTTACAGCCCAACCCTCTCCCCCCGTGGTGTCAGCCCCCACGGGGAGGGCCACACCTGGGCAGACAGTGAGCTTCGCCTGCGAGTCCCACGGCTTCTCCCCAAGGAACGTCATCCTGAAATGGTTCAAAGATGGGAATGAGCTCTCAGCCTCCCAGACCACCGTGGACCCAGAGGGAGACAGCCCTTCCTACAGCATCTCCAGCACAGCCTCGGTGCGGCTGTCCAAAGGGGATGTCCGCTCCCAGGTCATCTGCCAGGTGGAACATGTCACCCTGAAGGGGGGCCCTCCTCTTCGTGGGACTGCCAACCTGTCTGAGATGATCCGAGGTAGATGCCCTCACACCCAGCCCGAGCCCACACCTGGCTCCCACCCACCAAGCCTGCTCCTCCCCCTGCCATTTGCTCCAACTTAATTTCCCTGGAATCTAATTCCTGACAGTCCTTTCCATCACCAACACCTGGAGGTGCCCGTCACTCACCACTGTTTAATGGCAGTTACCAGGTGAACACCTACCAGTGTACTTGGTAGTTTCATCTACTTTAGCAATAGGAACTCCAATACCTGAGTACCTACTATAAACTGAGCTACTCTGTGCTTGGTGTACTCATTCATTTTGCTACAGTTATGTTTCAATTGCATGCGAGTCTGTGCTTATAGACTTCAGTCATATTACCCTAATAGGAGCTATTAGTTCTTGAGCACCTACTGTGTGCAGCATATTGAGCTTAGTGATTTCATTTATATGCAGAAAGAACCCTGAGTTCTGAGCACCTACTGCATACCTACCACTGTCCTGAATTACACCCTTGCTGTGGTAGGGGAGCTAAGTTAAGGGGATCCTCTGTGATCTGTGTCTCATGAGGTCAGAGCCTCTGCCCTGTGCTCTTTCAGTTCCACCCACCTTGGAGGTTAGACACACCATGTCAGAGAACCAGGAGAATGTGGTCACCTGCCAGGTGAAGAACTTTTACCCCCAGCACCTACAGCTGACCTGGTTGGAGAATGGAGAAATGTCCCGAACAGAAGTGCCCTCAACACACACAGAGAACAAGGATGGGACCTTCAACTGGAGGAGCTGGATCCTGGTGAACTCATCTGCCTACGAGAAGGCTGTGGTTCTCACCTGTCTGGTGCAGCACGATGGGCAGCCGGCCATCAGCAGGAACTTCACCCTGGAGGCCTCCACTCATCGGAAAGGCCAGAGCACAGATGGACACTCTGGTGAGAACTCTACCCAAACTGACCCAGGTATTTACATTTTTTATAATGTTAAGAATAGAAATGTGTGCTTATTATGGAATATTCTAGAAGTCTATCAATACAAAGAATTTTTGAGTGAGCTCCCTCCCACAAACCCCAGACTCCAAGTTACCACTGGTAAGAGTTTGGTACATGTCTTTATAGATCCTTTGACATCAATATACATTAAAGAAAGAAAGAAAAGAGCAACAGAGGGTGATCATCTTTTGGGTGTCCTGCCTTTCCCTTCGTTCTCCTAACAGTCCCTGTCCCCTGTCCATGTCAGGCAGGAAACAGCCTCCTTGCTGTTTCCAGCCTCCTCCTGGTCTCTGTCCCATCCTAACTTCTCCATCTGCATCAGTAGGGTCACCCAGCAAATGCCTGAAATGGATGCTCTGTGAAATTCCAGAGGGGGAGCCATGAGGACATGGGACAAGTCATCCACATGACCATGAGTGGTCACAACACAGGCCACCTTTGTCCCCAGTTTTGTGACAACAAACCAGCAATAATCACAAATGTCTGCTTAAGGGGATGTTATTACTATTCCCTTAGTGTCCTGATGATGATGCAGGGTCTGAGTTGATATCCACAGTTTCATTTCTAATATTGGAAATGTGTCATTTCTCTATTTTTATTTGTCAGTCTTGATAAAGGTTTCAATTTTATGGTTCTTTTCAAAGAATCTGCTTTTTGTTTCAGTGATTTTTCTCCACTGTTTCTCTGGTTTCAATTTCATTGATTTCCACCCTTTACTTCACAAATTCCTTCCTTCTGCCCTTTGGGTTGACTTTGCTCCCCCATTTCTCATTTTTTGGAGATGGGAATGTAGATCACTAATTTTAGCATTTGTCTCTTCCCTAAACCACACCCAAGTCACCTTCTGTGCCTGGAGATCTAGGGAAATACAACCTCTGAAGCCTGTCACTGTGTTCTTTCTCCAGTCCTCAGGTCCGAGCCCTCCGCCTCTCTCTTCCATCACTCAGAGTCCTTGTTTGCATGTACCTTTTACCTGGTGTCATCGTCTCTAGCAGTCGGAGCTGCACTGAGTGGGGAGAACAGGAGAGCTGTGTCTGCACCATCTGGTCTGGAGCTCCCTCGGGTGCTTTGAGCCTCATCTCCCGCTGCTGCTCAGACCAGCCTGTGTCACCTCCTTATGCTGTCAGTGCATGTGACCCAGTGCTTCTGCCATGTCCTGAGACTGGGGATGGTGTTCAGGTTGTCTGGGTTAGCGAGTGGGGCAACGTGGAAGGGCCCATGTGACCCTCTGCACTGTGGGGCCATTCCCTGAGGTCTCTGGTCACTGCAGTCCTGGTGCAGTGGGCTCAGTGTGAGGATGCACACCATTTTGGTCATGTGTGTAATACTGGGGAGGTTTACAGTATTTCTTGATTAATGAACCTCTCTCTGTCAGTGTAGATTATGTTGATGGAGTTTATTGGTTAGATTTGATAGTGGGAGAAAGATTCTGAATCTTCAATATTTTTGGTCCTCTTTGACTTTCATGACCCCAAATTTGCCTCCCCCACTTTTTCCTTTCTCTCTTCACCACTCAGTTGTGATACACACTTCTTTCTTCTTTTTTTTTGCCTTCCCATACCCCGGAGTTATGTACTTTATTTTTTAAATTAGGTTTATTTTTGGATTACAGCTCACATACAATATTATATTAGTTTCAGGTGTACAACCCAGTGACCAGACATTTATATAACATACAAAGTGATCACCTGGATAAATCTAGCACCCATTTGACATGATACCTAATTCTTACATCATTATATACAATTTACATCCCTGTGACTATTCTGTACTATCAATTTGTACTTCTTAATACCTTCATCTTTATCACTCATCTCCCCAAAACGCCTCCAATCAAAATGTTTCCTGTATCTGTTGGTCTGTTCCTGGTTTGTTTGTTTGTTTGTTTGTTTGTTTGTTTGTTTGTTAGATTCTACATATAAGTGAAATCATATGACATTTGTCTTTCTCTGATATATTTCATTCAGCACAATACCCTCTCCATTCATCCATGTTGTTACAAATGGCAAGATTTCATTCATTTTTTATGGCTGAGTCATATTTCACTTATACATACACCACTTCTTCTTTATGCATCCACTTATTGGTGAACACTTAGGTTGCTTCCAGATCTTGGCTATTGGAAATAATGCTGCAATGAACATATGGATGCATATGTCTTTCCAATTTAGTGTTCTGGGTTCTTTGAATGAATACTCAGAAGTGGAATTGCCAGGTCCTTTGTTTTCTCTTGTTGTAGCCTTTGTTTTAAAGCAAGGGTGTCAGACTCATTTTCACCAGGGGCCATATCAGCATCTAGGTTGCCTTCAAAGGGCCAAACGTAATCTTAGAACTGTATAAATGCTCCCCCTACTCCTTAACTAGGGGCAAGGAGCTCGGCAGTGCTGCCAGGTAGAAACAAGGTGGACGGCCAGATTCGGCTCATGGGCCTTGTGTTTGCCACCTGTGTTTTAATGTCTCCTTTGTTTGGTGTAAGTATTGCTGTCCCCACTTGTTTTGTTTTCTTTTGTTTCCAATTTCATGAAATATCTTTTTCTTTTCCTTTATTTTCAGTCTGTGTGTCTTTTGATCTGAGGTGAGTCTCTGGTAGACAGCACATATAAGAGTCTTATTTTTCTTATCCATTCAGCCACTGTGTTTTTTTTATTAGAGCATGTAATCCATTTGTGCTTAAAGTAATTTATATATATATATATATATATATATATATATATATATATATATATATTGCCATTTTATTTTTCATATTTTTATTTTTTCCTTCTTTTTATTAAATAATATCCTTTATTCCTTATAATAGCAGTTTGGTGGTGATACACCCCTTTAGCCTTTTCTTATCTGGGAAGCTCTTTATCTGTCCAATGATAGTTTTGCTGGGTGGTATAATCATGTTGTAGGTCCTTGCTTTTCATCACTTTGGTTTTGTATTGTTTTGTTTTTTCATCACATTGACTATTTCATGCCAATTTCTTCTGGCCTGCAAAGTTTCTGTTCAAAATCAGCTGAGAGAGTCTTATGGGAGCTCCTTTGTAAATAACTTACTTCTTTTCTTTTACTGCTTTTAAGATTGTCTCATTGTATTTAACTTCCAGCATTTTAATTTGATGTATCTTGGAGTGGACCTCTTTGGGTTCATCTGGTTTGGGTCTCTCTGTGCTCTGGACTTGCATGTCTATTCCCTTCACCAGGTTAAGGAAGTCTTTTGTTATTTTTTAAATAAATTTTCTATTTCTTGCTCTCTTCCTTCTCTTTCTGGAAACCCTATGATGCAAATGTTGATATACCACAAGTAGTTCCAGAGGCCCTTAAACTATGTTTACTTTTTTTTTGGACTATTTTTTTTGTTATTGTGAATGGGTGTTGTCTGCTTTCTTATCTTTAAAATCACTGATTTAATCTTCAGCTATATGTATTCTACTGTTGATTTCTTATGATATATTCTTCATTTCAGTTAATGTATCTTCATTTTTGAATTATTTAATGTTTTCTATATTCACTTTTTTAAAAAATCCTCACCCAAGAATATATTTATTGATTTTTGAGAGAAAGAAGGGAGAAATAAAGAGAGAAACATCAGTATGAGAGGCAAACATCAATTGGTTGCCTTTCATATGTGCCCCAACTGGAAATCAAACCCACAATCTAGGTATGTACCCTGGCTGGGAATCAAACCTGAAAGCTTTTGGTTCATGGGATGACACTCCAAGTAACTTAGCCACCTAGCCAGGAATTCTACTGGCATTTTTATGTTTCCTGTCCCTTTATTGAAGTTCTCACTAAGTTCATCCACTTTTCTAAGTTCATTGAGCATTTTTATGATCAGTGTTTGAACTTTACATCTAGGAGATTGCTTGTCTTAATTTTTGTGGTTCTTTTTCTGGAGTTCTGTTCTGTTCTCTCATTTTGGACATCTTTCTTTGTCTCCTCATTTTTGCTTCCTCCCTGTGTTTTTTCTATGGATTAGGTAGAGTTGCTATGTCTCCCAGTCTTGGCACAGTGGTCTTATGTAGTAAGTGTCCTATAGTGTCTAGTGATGCCCTTCCTGGTCACCCTACCTGGGTGCTTCAGGTGCACCCCCAGTGTGGGATGTGTGCACCCTCCAGTTGTGGTTGAGCTTTGATTGCTGTTGGTACATCAATGGCAGGAACCTGTCCCCAGGACAGTCAGCTGGGAGGACTGGCTGTGACTGCAGCAAAGGAGCTGCTGTGCGGGGGCCAACCCCACAGAGTAGAACCCACTTTACTGGAGCTCTGGTGCCCAATGACCCCACCTTTCAAAATTGGAGATGGTTCAGTTGTATTCCTTTGTTGTCTAAAGCTGTCCACTGGATTCCCTGGCTCTGGGGTCTTTCTGGAGGTGCAGAAAAGATCTGCCACTGCCTGGGTCCATTTTGGAGCTAGCCGGCATGAGTTACAAAGTCATTTGCAGATGGGTGCTATTTGTACTGGGCTTGGAGGTGCCTGGGAGAAGCCAAGCTGCATACTGAACCTGGCTGCTGTTAATGCTGGGCCTGGGGCCACTTAGCAAGAAGTTTGAGGCATACTGAAACCAGATGCAGATTATTAGGGGTTTGTGGACCTTTGAGAGATTTTAGAAAAGTCTGGAGAATAAGTCAAGATAGGCCATTTGTAGAGAACATCATAGAAATGGCCTGGGTCTGCCCACAACTTGTGTGGGGTGGGCTCTCAAGGAGTCACCAGGGAGTTTAACAATATTAGCCCACTTGATGGAGATTCAGATACAGTGCCCAGCTGTTCCAGCAGGGGAGGGCTCAGCAGAGGATCAGTGGCTTTTGCCAGCATTTCTTTCTTGGTAAAAGCTGCCTCTCCAGCCTCACCACAAAGCCAGGCATTTCAGTTCCTCCCATCCCCCAGTTCCTTTCAAACTGCTGCCCCAGTGCTGGAGCTCTGAGAGAGTGAGTCTGATTAAGTATGAGTGTGGGCCCTTTAGAGGGATGCCTGGTTTCAATTTTGTTTGTTAGATTATTTTGTTTATTAGATTTTATATATATTTATGAAATTCTATGGTATTTCTCTTTCTTGGACTGTCATTCCAATAAATTCAATAAAAAATAGTATTTAAAGAATTATTTTTTTAATAAAAAGAGGAATGTCTGGGACTCCAGCCACTCTCTGTCTCCCTCAGCCACAATCCCTGCTGGTTTTCACAATAAGAAGTTACTGGGACTCTCTTCCAGCACTGGGTTTCTGGGTCAGCTGGCCCGGTGCGTGTCAGGGACTCACTGCTCCTCAGGGGGAACCTCCACAACTCATATCCCTCCAAAATGTTTTGACCACCACATGTGGGTGTGTGACCAGTCCATTCCACATCTCTGTTTCTCCTACAAGAATAGATGTGGCTTCTTCTGTACATAGAACTTCTGTTCAGCTAGAAGCCAGGTGGTTCTAAATGATGACTGTGCTGCAGTTTAGTTGTAATTTTGATGTGTTCGTGAGAGTATGCATGTACCGCATTTACCTATCCCACCATCTTGATCAAAGACAGGTTATGAACTTTAAATTATGTCTAGCCCTTTAATTACATCTGTCTTATTTAAATATTCCTGCATCTCTGAATGAGATTTCTATTGGCACCATAACCACATGTTTAGTGGCCTAACACAAGACTAGTTTTTATCTTGCAGTTGGAGAGGTCAGAAGTCTGCAATGGGTGGGCATGGCTGGGTCCTCCTGGAGGCTCTAGGGGAGAGTCTCCCTGAGTATGACACATTTTGATATGTATTTAAGTAGAACCACACAGTATTTTCTACTTGGCAACTAGCCTATTTTACTTAGCACTATGTCCTTAGGTGTACAGCATGTTGTAACCTGTGACCAGATTCCAAATCGGAAAAGAAAGAAAAGAGTAGGATGTCTTTGATCCCATTCAGATTCCCATTCATTCTTCCTTCCTTCCTTCCTTCCTTCCTTCCTTCCTTCCTTCCTTCCTTCCTTCCTTCCTTCCTTCCTTCCTTCCTTCCATCCATCTATCCACCCATCCCAGCACACATTCACTCATGCATTCACACTGTCATTCAGTTGTGCATTTACTTAGGCATGCAGCTGTTAACCAATGCCTACATCCTCCTCTGTACCAGGCCCAGGCAGATGACCAGTCCTCAAGGAGCTCCCAGTATCCCACAGTGGCCTTTCTACAGTAATTGTCCGCTTTCTCTGAGCTGCATCAGTCCCCCATGCAACAACAGTGTCCCAGTCTTCATTCTCCTCAGACTTGGTGGCTGTTACCCGCCTGGTTCAGATATTCTATCCACAAAGTGTACATGTCACCTAGCTGGAGAACTGTCATATGTTCAAGGTAGCTGAGTACCCTGTGTCTATGAAGAAAAGTAATGGTATCTATTGCCTGGAAAGCTTGCAGTGGGTGAATTGTCGTTCTAAGGGTCTGAGCCAGGGCTCACCTGTATGATGCAGCATGAGGTACATTCTCCAATCCAGCCAACCTCATATTGTCCATAGCAGCCCACACCACATAGGGCATATTGGGGGTACATCGAAGCTTTCACCTCCGCCCCTGTGAGCAACTAGGTCACCTCTGTCTCCTGAGTACTGTGAGGTATTTAAACTCACAGAGCTTTCTTTCATGTCCCCTTCTGCCCATTGGTGTTTAGGTGTACAGACATCTGCCATTATTTTTGTGGTGTTCCTCCTGGGCCTCAAGGTGCTGCTGGTGATGAGTTTCACAGTCACCTACATCCACAGGTGGTGGACCCTGTAACAGGTGAGTTGGAGGCAGGTCTTTGTCCATAAAAAGGAAAGTCAGGGCAAAACTCACAGGCTGGCAGGAGACGTCCAGCGTGTGGCTGCATAGTCACATGGTTACCACAAGGTTGATTCAGCCTCAACAGAAGGTTGTGAAAGCTTTTATTTTCTGTAAATGTCTTTGGAATCTCAGAAGCTTCCAACTCCTCCACATTGCGTTGTGTCCTGAAGTTTGAAGGTTTTCAATTTAAGTGCCGTGGGATCCTGGCAATGGTGTCCAAAGTGTGGAGGTAGGATAAAGGCCAAAGCTTTGAGACCCAAACTAAAAACATTCCTCCACAAACTGTTCTATATTTCAGTTTTCATATGATATATGTTTCGTACAAACAAATAAGTAGAACCAAAATCAACTAATACAACCCGAGAGACTTGGGGGTGCTGACCAGTGGTGAAGATGAATGTGGGTATGAAAGGGGGAGCAGAACTCAGAGGAGGGGTTCAGGTAAACTGAGTAGGGGCTTGATTTCTGATCTGTGCCACCAACCCAGGCCACAGTGCTTTCCACTTATATGTGCTCAATAAATATTTGTGGAAATAATACAAAAGCTAATGAGTGAATGAATGAGTTTCACTCTATCTTTCCATGCCCTGTGATACCTTGTCTCCTGCCTTCTCCAAGGGACTCAACTGGAGAGAAGAAGCTGCAAGGACCTTTAGGTGACCCAGAACCCTGGCCCTTCACTCTGCCAGCCCCACCTGAACCACAAACATGCTCCCCCACACACCCTCCTGATGGGCCAGTCTCTGATAATGAACATGAGTCAAGGATGGACTTTGGTCGTGGGGACTCTGAGATGTCTGGACCTGGATGCGCTGAGCTTCAAACTGGTCCTGCCTCCCCAGAAAAGAGAACCATTCAGAGCAAGGCAACAGGTTTCCATTCTTTCTGATTATAAACAGCCTTCAATATTGAGAGAATATTTTACTTTACCCAGAGATTGTGTATGATTTCATTTTAGCACATAGATACTTAAAATCACTAAGTTGAATAATTATTTTTGTATTCTGAAATATGTAATGAATAATGTAAAAATTATCCAGGACTCACCATTCTATCTTTCCAAAATAGGAACACTTTGCCTGTATTCTCTGTTCCTTTTAAAAAAAATACTGTTGGAAATTTGTTGTTATCATTCCCAGCAAGATTTTATACTTTTACAACATATGCACAAATCCTTAAGCAATACTTAATATTACTTTGCAGGTTTTAAGTTTTATTTAAGTGCTATTATACAGTGCTAACATTCTGGAACTTTTTATGCTTAATACTCTTTTGTGTATTCTAACAATGTTGATATATGTAGCTCCATGTTATTAATTTTGCTCTGTAGTTTTCTGCTGTAAGACGTGCTACAATTAGTATTAATCCTGCACCTAACATTGTACAACAAGCTCTCTGATTTCTGCTCCGTGGCACCTATGGGAGAGCCCCTCCTGTTCCCCTAGTGTGGGCCACAAAAACACAGGTCGGGGGCATTTGGGAGCTTTTGTTCTACCAAAAACTGTTTTCAATGTTTGATTAAGCTTTGCTCTTGTAATTGATGCCTTTGATCTAGGCAGATTTTCCGTGTGTGTGTGTGTGTGTGTGTGTGTGTGTGTGTGTTGTAGGTAGTAGGGATCTTTTCTCCTTACACTCATGGGTCCTCATGGCTGCCTTTGCCGCACGCCAAGTCCGCATGAATACGTGCTCCTTTTTATGAGCTCTCTATTGCATTGAGCTCCTTGTCTATCTCCCTGTCAGAACTTCCTTGACTTAATTAGAATAGTTTTATAATGTTTTCATACCTTTACTGGGAAATCCTCCCACCTTTTCTTGTTTTCAAAATTATGTGTTACTCTTGGCCAAAATGCATTTTTTATATTTTTATTGCATTTTTTCTATAAGCATTTAGTCTCCTATACCCCTCACCCCCCACCACCACAACACCACACTACTGTCTATGAATGACTTTCTCATATTTCATGAAAAACTACATTAAAATTATTATTTGACTGTATTAAATTTATATATTAATTCAGATAACTTTGTATCTTTATACTATTAAGATTTTTTAACTCATGGACATGACATACATCTATTAAAGATTACTTTCTGACTCCCAGTACACAATTTTCCCCCTTAATGGTCTTAGGCATCTTTAATTAGAACTATGTTTAACACTTTCTAGTTCATGAAAACTTTAAAAACAGTAATTACTATTATTAGTGTTTTTTTTACTACTGTTTAGGATGGTAATTGATTTCAATCATCACTCTCTATCCACCAGGCTTATGAAACCCTAACTAGTGCTAAAAGTATGTACACTTTTTATTTGCAACACTTTAGACAGTGGTTATCTAGAATTGTTCTCTACCTTGATCAAAGTTACATGTGCACGTGTTTAGAGTCAAGTAGTTCTACAAGTTCTACATGTGAAAACTGGAGTCTCCCAAGCCACCCACTGTCTCCTACTTCCAAGAAGCAACCATTCTCAACTCTGTGAACTGATTATTTTAGATTTTACTGTCACATCTCATACAACGTACTTCTATTGCACTTCTTGATCTCTGACCTTCAGGGTTTATGTGTGCACGTCCCACTAAGGAAGATGGGACACATGTGTTACTCCTGACTTCATGACACACACGCACAATTTCTACTCCCCACACCCCCGATGTCATTACAGTATAATTTTGGATAACTGAGTAGTCCGTGTCTTCATTGCAATGACTATGAGATTGGTACTTACGTATAAATCTTGTAACATTTTCAGCTGTGCTGTGTTGGTCCCTCAGGTGTATGTTTGTGTCACCACCACCATGACCAGGATGCAGAGCAATTCCATGACCACAGAGGTCCCCTGTGCTCGCCTTTACAGTGACCCCATCCCCACTGTGCCAAACTCTGCAAATGCCAATCTGCTCTCCACTCTATAGTTATAAGAATATTATATGAATGGAATCAAACAGTATGTGAAATTTTGAAATTAGCTTTACATACTCAACATAGTGCCTTTGAGAAACTTACAAGATGTTGCACGTGTAAATAATCTATGTCATCTCTGGTTGGTGTGGTTCAGTGGATTCAGTGCAGGCCTCCAAACCAAAGGGTCACTAGTTCAATTCCTGGTTATGGCACATGCCTGGATTGCAGGCCAGGTCCCCAGTAAGGGGCGTATGAAAGGCAACCACACACTGATGTTTCCTTCTCCTTCTCCTTCTCTTCCCCTCTCTCTAAAAATAAACAAATAAAAACAATTTTTTTAAATAATCTATTTTTTTCTATGGCTGAGTAGCATGTCCTTGTATGAAGGCATTACAAGGTATTACAGTTTGATTAACTTTTTACTTATTATGTAACCTTTTTTATTGTTTCCAATTTTTTGCTATTACAGAGAAAGCTGCTAAACACTAGTACACAGGTTTTGGTTGTAACATAAGTTTTATTTCTCCGAAATAAATGCTTGGGAGTGTAATTGGTGAGTCTTAATAATTCACTTCTTCTTTTGAAAGAAGTCAGAATAAGACTTCCAGCCAAGATGGAGGAGTAGGTGGAAACACTGTGCCTCCTCACACAACCAATTTTAAAGACAACAAAGTTTTAGTAACGAAAACGCAGCCAAAACACAGAAAATTTAACCGTACGGAAGTCTGACACAACGAACTTTCAGGCGGACCAGTAAGAGGGGCGGAGGCAGCAGAAAAGTGGGGTCAGGCAGGAAAGATCCACCAAGCGACCCAGGCACAGGCGGAGGTTGGCAGATCCCAGGTGTGGGGTAACAACAGGCGGACCCAATGAGGGCACAAAGTGGCAGGCTGACCACAGTCACACATTCGCACGCAGATAAACCAGGTGAAAGAGCGAGCAGTGAGACAGACTGCATGGGCCCCAGCGGAGGAAAGCAGCAGAGGGGACCACTACTGCTCCCCTTCGATCCCGCCCCCCACATACAGCATCACAACCCAGTGACCTGGGTGGCCCCGCCCTGGTGAACACCTAAGGCTCCTCTCCTCAAACATAACAGGTGCAAACAGATCAAAATATGGCTCAAGGAGAACTCAGAGCCCCAGAGCCGATAACTCTAAGCGAACAAGAAATAGCCAACCTATCAGATGCACAGTTCAAAACACTGGTGATCAGGATGCTCATAGAACTGGTTGATTTTAGCCACAAATTAGAGGAACAAATGAAGGCTAAACTAATTAAAATGAAGGGAAATGCATAGGAAACCAATAGTGATGGAAAGGAAACTGGGACTCAAATCAAGGGAGTGGACCAGAAGGAAAAAAAATGACCAAACAGAAAAGAATGAAGAAACAAGAATTCAAAAAAAATGAGGAGAGGCTAAGGAACCTCCAGGACATCTTTAAATGTTCCAACATCTGAATTATATGGGTACCAGAAGGGGAAGAGGAACAGCAACAAGTGGAAAACTTATTTGAATAAATAATAAAGGTGAACTTCCTCAATCTGGCAAAGGAAATAGATTTCCAGGAAGTCCAGGAAGCTCAGAGAGTCCCAAAGAAGGTGGACCTAAGGAGGAACACACCAAGGCACATCATAATTACAATACCCAAGATTAAAATGAAGGAGAAAATCCTAGAAGCAGCAATAGATAAGGGGATAGTCACCTACAAAGGAGTTCGCATCAGAATGTCAGCTGATTTCTCAAAAGAGACCTTACAGGCAAGAAGGGGCTGGAAAGAAGTATTCCAAGTCATGAAAAGCAAGGACTTATGTCCAAGATTGCTCTATCCAGCAAAGCTTTAATTTAGAATGGAAGGGCAGATAAAGTGCTTCTCAGATAAGGTCAAGTTCAAAGAGTTCATCATCACCAAGCCCATATTATATGAAATGTTAAAGAGACTTATCTACAAAAAAGAAGATAAAACACAAGTATAGTAAAATGATAGCAAACTCTCAATTATTAACAACCACACTGCCCTGGCTGGGCTCAGTGCCCTGGATGATGTAGC